CAGAGAAAAAGAGGAAGACCCCCAGTAACATGGATTGGCAAAGTGGCAGCATCAATGGGGTCAAGCGTGGCAACAATTGTGAGGTTGGCCCAGGATCCGGCAGTGTTTCGTTCTGTTGTACACAGGGTCGCTATGAGTTGGTTCCGACTTAAAGGCACCTAACAAGTGTTGCTGGTGTGGTGCTGTGGGTTAATGAGCTGGACTGCAAAGTCAGTGGTTCAAGCTCGCTGGCTGCTCCTTGGAAACCCTATAGAGGGTCACTATGGGTCGGAATTGACTGGACGGCGCTTAACAACAACAACAAATTATACAGCCCTGGTGGCTCTGTGGGTCAGGCATTGGGCTGCTAACTACAGCCCGGAAATTCAAATTCACCAAGATCCCGTAAAAGAGTTTAGCTCTGGAAAACCATGTACAAGGTCGCTGTGAGTTGATCAGTGGCAGTGGGTTTATTATACAGCCAAGCCGGGAGAGGATTTCCCTTAAAAGCCTGCGAGGAAGGCTGTAGGTTCTGGGGTGCGGATAGCTCCCTAGTCCTTGACCTGTGGAGTGCCTAAACTGCCCTGAACCTCGAACGTGTGGTCGTGCCGGGGTGCATTTTATTTCACAAAAAACAAAGGTCAGAAAAAGGAGCGGTCTCTGCTTCTGCCAGCTCTTTTTTCTGTGGTGGTTGTTAAGTGCCACTGAGTCGGTTCCGAGTCATAGGGACCCTGTATAGGGTTTCCAAGGAGAGGCTGCTAAGTTTCAACCGCAGATTCAAACCAACCTCGTGGTTCAATGCTTGTCCTACAGCGCCACACCAGGGTTCCTCGGTTAGTGCTCTTGATTTACTAGGAGAACTCCGTTTGATAGGAAGGAGAGGTTTTTGTTTTTTGTTTTTTTAATAACGGCGTCTTACACTTGCGCCTAACTGGCGTGCAGAACCAAGGTGACGCTGGTGGCGGCGTGGGCTGAGTCTCTTCTCTTTCTCAGATTCCAAGAAAGCCGACCTGCCAATCGAGGACCTCGTGCTGGAGCCGCTCACTGTGGAGGTGCAGATCCAGCTGAGCCAGTTCCGCACCACTGAGGAAGCGCTCAGAGCCTTCTCCATCTAGGGCGGGTCCTTAAAGGTAGTTTCCAGAGCCGGGTCTCCTCGTATCTTTGGCCACGGAGGGCGCGAGCTGAGCATCCTGGGAGGAGGGGCCGCTCACCAAGCCTAGCTCGGTCCGCAGGTGCGCTCGCAGGCCACCCACCCACTCCCTACTCCCTCACTCCCCCACCCACTTCGTCCTCATGGCCCCGCCCCTCGCACCACGCTGGGCGGGGCCTCTCTCGGGTGTGTGGCCAGCCCCGCCCCCGGCCAGAGAGCTCCGAGTGCTGGGCTTGGGTCCCGGCATCCATACGCGACTCTTCGCCTGTTTCCCTGCTGGTGTCACAGCTCAGGTATGGCCTTGAGCGCCGGTCCGGGGTCCTGAGCTAGGGGTCCTCACTTGTACGTGAGGGTGTGCACGGGGACAGGCATTCCCTGCAGCCCATGTCGGTTCAGTAAGTGGTCTTGGTGCTCACTGGGTGGTGGGCGAAGCAAGGGATGGCCCGGGAGCGGATTTGGGGTTTGGATAGACCAGGTCCCCCAACCTGCGGGGGGAGGGAGGGCTTGTGTGTTCCAGGTCTGGAGGGCAGGGATTGGGGCTCTGTGCGGTGGGAGTGCCAGTACTGAGGGGCGCAGAAGGGGGCTATCTGATCTGCGCAGCCGCGTCTCAAAGCTACTGAACCAAACCACTTAATGTCGGCCTGTTTGGTAAATGGCTCCACGTTCACCTGGGTCCCCACACCTGAAACCAGTTATTTTTTTCTCAATTGCCCTGGACTCAGGCCATTTCTTAATCCTGGACCTAAGTAGCAGCAGCTGCAGTGACTTTAGAAAAAAAAGCAGATTATTTTCTTTTCTGGGGAAACCAACAGTTGTTAAGTGTCACCGAGTCGGTTCCGACCCAGAGCGACCCTGTATAGGGTTTCCGAGGAGCCCCCAGATCCTCACCATGCCTCTCCGTGGGGCTCTTCCTGATGGGCTCGCGCTGCTGCTCCTCTTACTTTCTGGATCGTTGTGCCCTGTTGTTAGTTGCCACTTGGCTGCGTTGTTTAACAGGACACGCTGCCTTCCTCACAGTTGTGATTGCTCCACTTGTGAGAACCACACTCAGCTGTCGCTGGCCCTCAAACGTTCCCTGCCTGTTCTGGCCCGGGCGCTCATGGATAACTGTTCTCTCTGCCCAGGCAGACTCTTCCCCAAGTGTTTGGGTGGGTCATCCCTCATTCCACTTGGTCTTTGCTCAAATGTCCCTTCATCAGAGACCTTCCCCACCACTTTGCGCCCTCACACTGTTTTAATTTCTCGGCAGGGGAGTTGTACTAAAGCAGTGTTTCTTTGCGGCCATGTCATCTCTGTGGGGACAGTGACCCTGTCTTGCCCCTACATATCCCTAGAGCCTAAAAAGGTCACTTTCTGGCGGTGGCGGTAGTGACAACACAGGGTGAGGTTAACGTGGGCAGACTGACTAGAAGTGAGGAAGGTCTTGGAGTCAAGACCTGGGAGTGGATGTGAGGAGGAGGAGGGGATCCAGGGCCAGAGGGATCCAGGGCTGTGGACCTTGGTGAAGGCTGCTGCTGGCTGTGTTCTCGCCCCTCTCTGTGGACGGGTGGCTGAGACTTGACACCAGAATGTAGACATGAAGGGGAGGGGGAGCTTCAGGGGAGCCTGGTACTTTTTGAGTGTGTGTGTGTGTGTCCATCCAAAGGCTTGCTTCACTGCCCCACAAGGGACCCCAGATGGCTCAGAGGAAAAGCCAGGGTTCTCAGTGCTTGCTGCCCCCCTGCGGCTGTGTTTTTCTCCCCAGGCTCATTTATGACACCCATAGGGACGGAAAAGGTTCAGACGAGGTGTGACTAGTCCAGGTGTCAGGTTGTGTGTGTAGTGTGCATCCCCGACACTAGCTGGGCTTGTTGACAGGTGCTGGGGTTTCGGGAGCCCTCTTCATAGAGGGAAGGAGCTCTGGTAGCGTAGTGGTTACGAATTGGGCTGCGAACCTTAAGGTCAGCGGTTCGAAACTACCAGC